CGGAAAGTGTGGGTCTACTTTCTGAAGCATAAGTCAGAAGTGTTTGAAGCTTTCAGGAGATGGAAAGCTATGGTCGAGAGTGAGACCGGTCTAAGAATAAAGAAGCTCAGAACCGACAATGGCGGTGAGTATGAAGACACCGGATCCAAGAAGTTCTACTATGAGCACGGGATCAGAATGGAGAGAACTGTGTCCGGCACGCCTCAGCAAAATGGTATAGCTGAGCGGATGAACCGAACGTTGACAGAGAGAGTCAGAAGCATTCGAGTACAGTCAGGCCTACCGAAGCAGTTCTGGGCAGAAGCGGTTAACACAACAGCTTACTTGATCAACTGAGGTCCATCAGTTCCATTGGAGCACAGAATACCAAAGGAGGTATGGTACGGAAAGGAGGTAAAACTCTCATATCTTAAAGTTTTCGCTTGTGTAGCTTACGTGCATATTAGTGATCAAGGCAGGAACAAGCTTGATCCCAAGTCAAAGAAATGCACTTTCATCGGCTATGGTGAAGATGAGTTCGGCTATCGCATTTGGGACAACGAAAACAAGAAAGTGATCAGGAGCAGAGATGTGATATTCAATGAGAAGGTGATGTACAAGGACATGCACAAGACAGATGACTCAGAGAGCGAGTCAATATTTATAGATGCAGATGATGTCCCGAGTAACCTCTCGGAAGAACCCAATGCAGAAGATCCTCAGCCAGAAGAGCCTGTTGGACAAGATGGTGCGCAGGAGCCTGACGCACCAGCTCCGATTTTGAGGAGATCTTCTCGTCCTCCTGTACCCAACAGGAGATATATGAACTATCTGTTGCTAACAAATGGTGGGGAGCCTGAAAGCTATGATGAAGCTTGTCAGGGTGGAGATGCGAGCAAGTGGGAGCTCGCCATGAAAGATGAGATGAAGTCTCTCATCTCAAAGCAGACGTGGGAACTAGCTGAGTTGCCCACGGGTAAGAAGGCACTTCACAATAAATGGGTGTACCGGGTGAAAGAGGAGCAGGATGGTTCCAGAAGATATAAAGCCCGACTAGTTGTCAAATGATTCCAGCAGAAGGAAGGAATTGACTACATCGATATTTTCGCTCTCGTGGTGAAGCTAAATACTATCAGGATAGTGATGAGTATTGTAGCTATTGAAGATCTTCATCTCGAGCAGTTAGATGTGAAGACGTCGTTTCTTCACGGAGATCTAGAAGAGGAGATATACATGCACCAGCCAAAAGGTTTCTCAGAAGAAAAGAAGAAGAACCTGGTGTGCAGACTCAAGAAGAGCTTGTATAGCCTGAAACAAGCCCCAAGGCAGTGGTACAAGAAGTTTGACGGCTTTATGCACAAGGAAGGTTTCCAGAAGTACAACGCCGACCACTGTTGCTACGTCAAAAGATATCAGTCTAGCTATATCATCCTACGGCTGTATGTTGATGATATGTTGGTTGCAGTAGCAGATATGGAGGATATCAGGAGTTTGAAGCAGCATCTGTCAAAGGAGTTTGACATGAAGGACTTGGGTCCAGCAAAGAAGATCATTGGAATGCAAATCACGAGAGACAAAAAGAAAGGGTTCTTGCGGTTGTCTCAGACAGAGTACATCAACCGTGTTTTGCAGAGATTCAGCATGGGCGACGCCAAGCCAGTGAGCACACCATTGGCCAGCCATTTTCGTCTATCAAAGGATCAGTCTCCTCAGTCAGAAAAAGAGAAAGAGAGTATGGCTAAGGTTCCTTACGCCTCAGCTATTGGAAGTTTGATGTACGCAATGGTCTGTACGAGACCAGACATTGGCCATGCAGTGGGAGTGATCAGCTGGTTTATATCAAATCCAGGAAAAGCTTATTGGGAAGCGGTCAAGTGGATTCTAAGGTATCTACGAGGCACCACACAGAAGTATTTGCACTTTGGTAAGGGAGAGGTGGAAGTGCAAGGGTACGTAGATGCAGACTTCGGCGGTGAAGTCGATCACCGAAGAAGCACCACCGGCTATGTATTCACTGTTGGAACTACAGCTGTTAGTTGGATGTCACAAATACAGAAGATTGTCACTCTGTCCGCTACAGAAGCTGAGTATGTTGCAGTGACTGAAGCCAGTAAAGAGATGATATGGCTTCAGGGTTTGTTAACAGAGCTGGGATTCAAACAAGAGAAGAATGTTTTGCACAGTGATAGCCAGAGTGCGATACACTTGGCAAAGAATTCCGCATTTCATTCTAGAACGAAGCATATTGCGCTTCGGTACCACTTCATCAGATCACTGTTGGAAGATGACATGTTGAAACTGGAAAGATTCCAGGAAGTAAGAATCCAGCAGACATGTTAACAAAGACGGTGACCGTTCAGAAACTGGAGGTGTGCGCAACTTTAGTTGGCCTTCATGCATAGATGATGAGGGCGGAGCCACACAAGAGATAATGCTTGTAGGGATAGCCTGCTGACGGCGGTTTGGTCTCCAAGTGGGAGATTGTTAGTTTGGGTGTAGGCCAAACTCACCTCCGCAGGCGAGCGGGGCTGCAGGCGAAGTCGAGGGCATGCAAGCGAGCTCGTGGGCGAGTTCGAACGGACGAGCGCGAGTTCGAGCGAATCGTTGCAGGCGATTTCGTGGTCGACAACAGGCGAGTTGATCAGGCGAAGCTCGAGCAGGCGGATTCTTCGTGGCTGGCGACTTCTCGAACTGGCGAGATTAAGACTCGCCCGCAGACAAGTTTGGGCACCCCGCTCGGCTGGCGACAGCCTTCTCTTCGATTCCTGGCGGCGGCTCCCCCCCCCTTTTCTCCAGCGATCTCTCTCTCTCTCTCTCTCTCTCTCTCTCTCTCTCTCTCTCTCTCTCTCTCTCTCTCTCTCTCTCTCTCTCTCTGTTGTGATTGAGAAGGGATTTAGAAGAGGAATTTATTGTAAAGGAGATTAAGAGGGTTATTTAAGAAGTGGGGAATCTTACTGTAGCTATAGTAAAGATTGCATTTATTTGAGGAATCTCAAGTTTGAGATTCGCTCTTGAATTGTAATTTCTTGTTAAGATCAATAAGAAATTTACTGTGTGGCTCCCGAGGACGTAGGCAGTTGCCGAACCTCGTTAAAACTTGGTGTACTTTTTCTATTCTGCGTTTCTGTTGCATTAGGGATTTCGACGTTAAATTCCCAACAAAAATATCTACAAGACATCTTAAATAAATCGAAAAACAAAAAATAAAAGTAAAAGCATAGACTGTGATGCAAGCAAGGAACAAAAGACTATTCTAGAAAAAGAACATCGAAGGACTTGGACAGCCTCCGCTTGAAACTACACCATGCTTCCCACGTTTGCTGATTTTTCCTGACCGTCGGATTATGATCCTACGGCTGCGGGTCATGTGGGCTCCTCCTTTGAAAATCGAAAGGCCGCGTAAAGGAACAATCTTAGGCGCAAGTCCGTGTTACTACCGTCGCCGCGGTTCTCGCACAAACAGGCGAAGACCATTGGGCCGACATCTGACTTTTATAGAAGAATCTTCTTCTTTTTAGAAAAAAAAAAAAATCTCTTCAGACTTCCTTTTCACGCTGAACTTTTAATTGATCAAAGGGTTCTTTTGATATTAGTTCTCTCAATCTTTCATATTTGAAATTATTAGCATCCGAAAAATTCTTCATATTTTGAAATTGGTCCCCCTCGAAACATTTACCATCCAGATCGTTAATGTTGGTTGAGTTTGTAGTTATTCAGGGACAAGTAATTAATTAGCTAACCGCCCAAATCAACCACAATCAACACTAGAATTAGATTCAAACTCAGTGGATTAAGTCTAGTACTGCAGAGCTTTTTCCCCGGCTTATACTCAATAAACTTTATCAATGTTTGAGTTTGATTGCATAATGTTATAACTGGTATTGCACCTAGAGATGTTAAAGATGCTCGACATTCCCTCAAATTCAACAAATTAACCTCCAGCTTAGGGGACTAATTTCAAATCATTTAAAAGATCAAGGGACTAATATTTTCCACGTATGAAGATTTGGAGTACCTATATAAGAACCCTTTTAATGAAATATTAAGCAGCTTTATTATTGAATTTTTACATGATCATTTTCTCGAAAACATAGGACTTATAAAGTTATTTTCTTTATTATTCTTAGGCTTTTCTATTAATGTTTTTGCTACGGAACGAAGGTAAATATAGAAATAAGAGACTTCCTTGGATCAAAAACATTTCCTCTCAATCAAACACAACTTTCTTCAAATGAGGAGAACCTTCCTTAGACTTGGAAAAAAGAACAAATTAATCTGAACATTTATATATATATTCCCCACCATATGGGGGTGTTTGGTTCAACAATTTTATAGAAATGTTTTCTCAAAAGGACTGACAATGACATTTCTGTAATTAAAAATTATGTGTAGATTTCCTTAAACTGTGTTTGGTTCAAAAAAAATTTTACAGAAATATTTTCTGTAAAGAACAGAAAAGTACAAAAATCTACAGAAATCAATTCTCTCAAAATGGGCGGAAATCACCTAGAAATCTGACACCCCATTGATAATTTTCTATAAAGTTGATATTTTTCTATAAATTTAGGAGGGTGTTTGGTTCAATTTCTACAAATTATAGGAAATCTTGCTATTTTTTATAAAATTATGGGTCATTTTCTTGTTTTGAACCGAACAAGAAAAGTACAAAAAACAAAAAAAAATTGATAATTTTTGACTTCTCAAAAATTTTCCTATAATTTTCTAAGAAATACAAGAAAACCATATTTCGGATAGAAAACATTTCTTATAATTTGTAGAAATTGATAAAAACACCCCCCTAAAATTAAATCCTGGCCCACATAATTATACGAAACCCAGGGGATTGAGCTTGGTCCTCGTTACGAAGACCCTTGGATCTTGGAATCCACTGCAATATTTTCATAAAAACTTACAGGTCCGATTGTGCCTCCATCTAAGGAAGGTGCCTACTAACTTTATTGATTATGTAGACTTTAGTCTTCTACCCTTTCATAAGGCAACATACCCATATTTAATTCCTGTTGTCCACCAACCCTATAAATATCGTCATCCTACAAATCCAATCACCCACAACTTTGAGCAATCAAAAACTTAAAATTTCGTTCCTCTCTCCGAATTCAAGGGTCAAACCCATGGCTCTCTCCAAAACTACTTCTGAATCCGATATATCGATCCACTCCACTTTCGCTTCAAGATACGTTCGGGCCGCTCTCCCAAGGTATAAAAATATTTACATACGTTAAGTGCATGATTGTTTCCGTTTACGTTGTAATTTGATTTGATTTTCTTATTAAATTTTTAGGTTTCGGATGCCGGAGAATTCGATACCGAAGGAGGCAGCGTATCAGATAATCAACGATGAGCTGATGCTCGATGGAAATCCGAGGCTGAACCTGGCTTCGTTTGTGACTACATGGATGGAGCCAGAGTGTGATAAGCTTATTATGGCTGCGATTAACAAGAATTATGTCGATATGGATGAATACCCCGTTACCACTGAGCTTCAGGTATGCTAGCTTCAATTTTTATTTGATTTTTTTTTTCCCGCATTGAAATACTTTTAAGTTTAGCCGGAGCAATGCTGCAACGATCCAGAGAAAAAAGCTAGAGTTTTCATTTCAGCAACTGGTTTGGGGGTGAATTGCATCACCATGATGGATCTTTTCTCCTCTTTTGCGCGTGTGATTACTTTGTGCGTACATCACCTGACCAATGAATATACAGCCGTGGTTTATTTATTTTTTATTATAGCGCACCATCCTTTCATAAATGCGCTTTACTTTGTCACTAGCTTTTGCACCCACTAAATATCATTTGTATACGCAACATACTTCTAATCATACATAAATAACACTTTAAAAAAAAAATCAATCTTTAGTAGTATAAGATTACAATGACATTTAATTAATTTAATAACAACCCATGATAATGTTCTATAAGATAAAGAGAATCACTTATTATTTACTTTTTTTTTTACTTGATAACGTAAGAGTACGTTTATTAGTTGATGTGATTGGATGAATTTTATTGACCGGTTTTCACTTGAGACAAAAGTGAACCACCAAATTAAGTGCTGAACCTCTCTACAAAGCTGACAAATATTTTGTTGGAATGCGATTTCAACATCTCTTTAATGGTGTTCAAATTAAGTAGTAACAACCTTGTAAAAATTAAATCTATCAGTCGCATTTGCTACTTCCAATAATTAATTATTTTATACTATATGAGAAAGGCCGTAGATATTAAAGTGTTTCAGTCACAATAAATTTATTAGAGTCAAAGTTCATCATTTTTAGAATTTATTAACGGTGTCCCTTTTGATAAGCTTCGTTTATTCGTGGAGAAGAAGTTTATGCTAAAAATTGACCAATACATCCTCCACTCTTTTATCACGTATTTTACGAAATTAGTTTCATGTGGACTCTGAGTAAGGCCCCGTTTGGTTCCAGTTTTTGGATGGGTAAAAGGAGGAAAAACTGTCAAAAATGTCAGCTTTTTGGTAGCTTTTCCCTAAAACCACCTGTATAAAAGTCGATTTTGGGGGGAAGCTGTTAAAAAACTGACATTTTTGACAGCTTTCTCCCTTTTACTCATCCAAAAAACCAATCCAAAAACTACTAAAAACTGACATTTTCTAACCCTTTAAAATTGAAAGAAAAATTATTCAAGGACCCAAAATATGGGACCAATAGAGGGGACAAATGAGGTGTCCCTCTCCTATTGGATAATGAGTTGATCATCATTAATGATGACCAACTCACTATCCAATAGAAGGGGGACACCTCACTTTTCCCCTCTATTGTTCCTATGTTTTGGGTCCATGTAGCAAAACTCAAATTGAAAACCATAGGCTCTGATTTCCATACTAGGAAATATAACACAAGACTTTGAGGCACGGTGATGAAGTCATGTGGACCCGATAATGGACGACCGGATGATGAGGTGAATTTTTAGGGGGGCGTTGTAGTATTTGTCCATAGAAATTAGCAAGTGGACGATGCAATTTGTCCGACGTAATTATTTAATTTTATATCTCATGGGCCCTCTTATATATGGGCTGGGCGTTTACCACGTTCCCGAATGCCGCGGCATGAGACGCGGTGCAAGTTATGGCTAAGCCATAATTAATGGATCTCCCTTTCATGATTAAATATACAATAAAGACTAAAGGCTGTGTCGGATAACCACTAAAAAAAATTAAGGGGGTTAGTCACCAAGAACTTAAAATTAAAACTGGGATAATCTATGGGATAAATTTTTAAGGTGTTAGTCACATAGAACTAAAACTAGAATAAAATTTTACAGTGTTAGTCAAGTAGAACCCTAACAAAACTAGAATTGGGATAATGGTATAAAATTATCCCACTTTTTTTTTATTTTTTATACAAAAATAAGAGTTCTAGTCTCTCAAATTATTCCAAGTTTTAGCTTAGAACTAGGTGGTAAAAAACTAGAACTCATATTTATTTGTTATTTTTTATATTTCTTTTTTTCTTTACTTCTTTCCTATTATGGTTATCACCATCATTAGAGCATCATTATAATAATAATTGTCAATATCTTATAGTCTAACCAAAAGTTATTTAATAGTAAAGAACATTCTTGTAAGCGATTATTAATCAATAATAGTAAGTTCAAAATACATAAATAGTATTTATATCTTCAAAATGCATAAATATATATTTCATGATTATAAAAATTTATCCCACGTTATTTTATCAAAATATCCCGCTTCACAAAATTGTTCCTATTTATCCCACTAAAATATCCCAGTAACGAAAATTTATTTTACTTTAACAATTATCTTATTTTGTATGAAAATGTCCCAATTGACTAACAACTCCTAAGCTATTTTGTAGCCGATGTAAAAGTGGACTCATAATGGGCCAGTAGTTGCCAAAGACAACCAAAATTTTTAAAGGGTTGTTGGCTACAAGTCATTGTTGAGTTAGTTGTTAGGCTGCTTCTGTTACCCTTAAAAAAATTGCGTCTTCCGAGAGATATATGTTTATATTTCTGTGTTCTTTTCTATCTGAATTCAACAACTTGCCAATTGGGCAATGTAACTTTTGATGGACCTACTTGTGTGAGGATGGTATAATTGTCAAAGATGGTACAAGAGCTTGGGTAGTTTTTAAAAGTTATAGTAAAAAAACGTGCATGGTAATTTTGTTCAAAACGTCCTAAAATTCACAGCAAATCCACGAAATTTTAGACGTTATGAATTGATACAAGTCTCACTTAATATTTTTAGGGCTTGATTGCACTTAATTCTCTATAGTTTTCCCAACCTTGCACTTAAATGCCTTAAGTTTCACATCGAGTTCAAAAATGCCCCAAAATATTTAAGTGTTGCAAATGAATACCTCATAGTTAAAAATACAAAAAGCTAGACGACGCTATCTTTTCTCTATGTCACATAACAGAGTGTATTAAAGTGAAACTCTTAGAAACTTTAGGACATTTAAGTAAGGTCATTACAAACTTTGGGGTATTTATAGGTAAGCATGTCCATTCAGGCCGGTCCGGCCTTGCCCGGCCCGGCCTTGTCCGGCCCTAAAATCCGAGTCCACGCCGGACAAAACGGGTGGCCAGACTCAGACCCGGACCCGGAAGGGCCGGGCCTACCTGATTTTTTTAAAAATTTGCTTAAAAATTAGTTTTTTTTCAAAAAAAATAAATAAATTTCAAGAGTAATTAGGATATGTGAAATTTGGACAAAAATTCAATCATATTATTAATCATAATACAAATATCATATAAATTAAAATGATAAATTCTTTATTATTAATCAGTAACAGTTACAATTTTTTTGGAATTCGCCACATCACAATATATGAATACATCCCAACTAGGTTAGCACATATTCATCTATATCACTATCATTTAACTCTTTCCAAAATAATTTATCATAAATTTACAGCTAAGAAATAAAAATTACAAACTAATTTTTACTTTCTATCTCTTCCTCCTATTATCAATTCATTAAGTCTATCTTTAATACTAGCTATTTGATCAATGTCTTGAGTACTCTTCTCGACCCTCCACTAATCTTGTAGGCACATTACCACATGTACGGTAGATGAGTCTACCAATGTTCTGTGGTCATCCATCACACGTACTAATGTGCTGAAGGCGGATTCTCAAGTTACTGTAGAAATCTGCACTGTTAGTAAGTCACGAACCATGATAGAAAGTATAAAATATAAAACTATTCTATATACTCTCTACAGTTGCAAAATATCGAAATCATCGTTTTGAGAATTAACTAAAGGTGTAGCTAAATATTGTTCAATTTCAAAAAAATTCTTTGATAATGATCTAAATCCATATCCAAGGTTACTACTAATTAGCCTAGGGGTGGCAAACGGGTCGGGTCGGGTCGGGTCGGGTCATAGTTGACTCGACCCGTATAAGTGTGACCCGACCCGACCCGTTTAATAAATGGGTTAATGTGACCCGACCTGTTTATTAAACGGGTTACCCAACCCGACCCATATAAAAAATACCAAGCTTACTCTTCCTTTTAGGTGTCAATGGCTCAGATTTCTTTTGGAGGTTCACCAAAGCTTACAATCTTGTTGGTGGATATCACTGTTTGTTGATTGGAAATATCCTGAAGCGGCTATTGTTTCCATTATTTTTAAGGGTAAATCTTGCAAAATCTCCTAAACTTTGGGACGGTGTTTTTGGCAATAAATCCCTTTAAAACCCTCTGAACGTTCAAAAATTATACTAAACTTCCCTGCACTATTGGAAATTCTCGTCAATAGGTTGATTTTATGGGGTAACATTATCCAAGAATCGGTCTCATATGACAACCTAAAATGACCTTTGTCAGTCATGATGCTTATATGAGATGAGTTCATGGAGGCTTCTGTATTTTAAGGATTTGGGGGGCCATTGTGCAAAACCCACAACATTCAGGGGATTTTGTGCAAAACAATAACTTAAAACAAAACGCGTGATCACAAAACTCACTACGGAGTCCGCCATGGCTGAGCTCGAGTAGGAGCTAGAATTTTTTTGGTGCTTTTTTTCGGAGACGATTTGGGACGGTGTTTGCTTATGCAAATAGTGTAGTTTTGTGGGGGCAACATAGGCAAATAAGCACGCAAAATCAAATCCCATCAACGTGAAGTTTGTCCCCAAATCGAAAACCCTAATTTCTCCCCCACAAACAATATGAGAAGGGCGGCAGCGGCAAGATCACCTGGAGCGTGTTCGACACGGTGAAGCCCTTCCCTCCGACTCCCTCGTCGGAAACCCTGATGGCCGACATCGATGCCGCCATCGCCGCCTCTGAGCTTGCCGCCTCCAACCAGAACAGTCAGCAAAACCAAAATCAGGATAATCAGAATATAGTCGGCGATGATGACGATGGAATCGACGTCTATGACGCTGGAGCTGCCGATGAGGCTTACAAGGTCGCGTGCGCTGCCCTACACGGGTCAGGCGGGTCAACCTGTTTAATAAATGGGTAACTTTGGGTTGACCCGTTTTGTAATACCCCAACCCTTGAGATGGGTGATGTGATTAGTATTGATAGATTTGATTGGAATACCCATACCACCAAGATGCATCTTCTTTTCGGGAACCCAACTCTTAGAAACTCCAAAGTTAAGCGTGCTTGGCCTGGAGAAATTCTAGGATGGGTGACCCCCTGAGAAGTTTTCCAGGGAGCGCGTGAGTGAGGACAAAACGTGCTGAAAAGACACGTGGTGGTTTGTGAGGCCAGTCCATCAGATCTAATAGCGTACCGACTCCGGGATTCCGGGGCGGGGCGTTACAAATGGTATCAGAGATAAGCCAACCGGAATTGTGAGAGCTAAGTGCTATGCGGCGCAAAGTGCTACGTCGAGAGGACGAGAGCCAGCCACCTCTTGAGGTCGTAGGAGCCACCTCTAGAATCTCACACGGATGGTACGGTCTTGGATGATATGATTTGGCACAACGAGGACGTTGTGAGTTTAAGTGGGGGAGTATGTAATACCCCAACCCTTGAGAGGGTGATGTGATTAGTATTGATAGATTTGATTGGAATACCCATACCACCAAGATGCATCTTCTTTTCGGGAACCCAACTCTTAGAAACTCCAAAGTTAAGCGTGCTTAGCCTGGAGAAATTCTAGAATGGGTGACCCCCTGAGAAGTTTTTCAGGGAGCGCGTGAGTGAGGACAAAACGTGCTGAAAAGACACGTGGTGGTTTGTGAGGCCAGTCCATCAGATCTAATAGCGTACCGACTCCGGGATTCCGGGGCGGGGCGTTACACGTTTATGACCCGACCCATATAATTCAACCCATACCTATTATAAACGGGTCGGGTCGGGTCGGGTTGATGGGTCGGGTCATTAATTGCCACCCCTAAATTAGCCTGACAATCATTGATTGCCTATAAAAGATCATACCTTTGCCCCTTCTTGAACTTGTAGAAGCTATAGGTTGATGTATACTTACACCATATCTATCTGCATACTCATCATATAATATTTATAAATAATATTTAATAGTGTTATGATGAGTAAGAACAGTAACAGCCTGGTCATCATCAATGTTTATTATCATGTTTTCATACAAAGAATTTAATAAAATTTAAAGTCCAACATCCTTCATGCATGGATCAATAAGAACCCCCAGACCAAAAATAATATGAATAGGTCTAAAATACTTATTAAATTTTCTTTCCATTTCAAAAATCATGTTTTCAAAATAATTATCCATGCGATAATTAGTAGAAAAAAGTTTGAATACTTAAAACTTATAAAGCAGCTTGAGTAATAGTTAGATAATAACAACCAAATAATAACATAGTAGCTTCATAAATACTTATAGGATCTCTTTTACACTACATATAACTGTCCAATCATTATCAGGTATTCTATACATACGACCACAGCTAGAACTAGAAGCATAGAACGTAATAAAATTATTTATAATTTTTATTATACTATGTTACTACATTTAACATTACATAGATGGAATTCCACCTATGGACAACATCTTTTTAGAATTAACTTGGGTTTTAAAATTTTCTTTTACAAAATTATTTTTATCTTTTAAGTCTTTGTTCAGAAGCATTATGAGCATAAACTATAACCCTAACTTTTCCTGTCATAGGTTTAATTTCATTAAATATATTTTGAACAATTAAATTTAAAATATGACTCATGCATCTAATATGAAAAAGATCACCATGACATGAAAATACCAAAGATGGTTTAATATGATTTACAGCTACATTAGTATTATCTTCATTATCTAGTGAAAGAGATTTTTTTTTCAAAAAATTTTAATTTAGAAAGTTCTTCCATTATTAAATTTGCAACATTAACATCAATGTGTGAATCTTTAAATACAATGAAAGAAACAACTCTTTTAAACATTTGTAAATATCATCAACCTAGTGTGTTGTGATACATAAATAACTAGTTTGTGTTTTAGATGTCTAAATATCAGAAGTTAGATAAAATTTATAATTTAAGCTTTAAAAATAAGAAATTATTTTTGTTTGTTCTTCGTGATAATATTTTAAAATATCACATTGGCAAGATTAATAAATTTTTTTTGAAACACAAGATAAAAATGATCTCTAATTATATCTTCAAATTCATTATCTTCTACTAATTTAAAAGAAATGTTATTAAGAACTATAAACCTGATGACATATTTGCTAGCATAATTGCATCATAGTTTCAGGAACCGAGGCCACCGAAGGTGGATGATTGAGAAAATAGAGATTGACGAATTTCTCCTTGAGACGTTCCTCCTTGCATTCTATTGTGTTTTTCCAAATAGCGTTTAAGTTGGTGCCGCTCTTCTGATGAGCTTGAAAAATATGGCCGCACGGTGCATATTTGGCTTTCTGGGTGAGAAGTTTACCGTCTTGATTCCTGATGACTTCTATTTTCTCGAAAAAAAATCCACACATAAGATCTGAGCCTTTTGGGAGCTCTAGGTGTGAGATCATCACCATTGGAATCAGGATCAACATCGATAGTAGAAGGAGTAGCTATAGGCTCTGTAGGTGTAGAGGACTCATTTCGGTATCGAGAGCTGGAACTTGCGCTTCACAATCGGAGGAGGAAGCCATTTGTTTGGAGAATAAGGGAGAATAAGAGAGTATTAAAGAGTATAAGATGGTATAAGAGGGTATTATAGAGAAGTAGATGATTTTTGGATAATAAAAATAAATAAACCCCCCTCTATTTATAGAGGTAACTCCCTAGCCAAATGACCAAAATACACTCAAAATATGTTCGTTTTTTACCGTTTTGGGGGTATTTTGGTCAAATACCCTAAAATGGCCGTTATGGCTGTCCAAACCGGGCTGGGCTTAGGCCGCTCGGTCCAACGGTCATTTTTTGACCATTCGGA